AGAGCGTAAGGGAGAAGGAGAAAAGGCTTTAGCAGCACGGCAGGGGTAGATGATGGACACGTGTCTGTACATATGAGCAACGTATGATATAAAACTGCAAACAGGCGAACCCTGGCCGCATGCAGACAGCATACAGAAGTGCAGGGGACGGAGCTAAGGAGTGATGGCATTCTTTCTTGTCTTGGATTGTTTTGTTTTTGCATTCTGTCCTTTTTGCAATTAATAACATTTAGAATGTCATTATTTCCTTCAACGATATTTTAGACCCTCACTTCCCACAACATCCACACACTCAGTCAGTATAATATTAAGAATAATATCAGGGGCCGGCAGGGGGCGTGGTGGGTAAAGGGAATGGAATACCTCCCACATCGTCAACTGCAGTTCAAGTCCCAGACCTGGAAGCTTGCTTTCTTACTCTCTCTCTCTCTCTTTCTCTGGTCAAATTAAAATAAATAAAGTTAAATTAAATAATTCTTTTAAAAAATTTAAAAATGAAGAGGGAGACCAGCAGATGGCATAATGGTTACATTGCTGGACTCCCACATAGTCAACCTCAGTTTAAGTCCCAGACCTGGTGGCTTAACACTCACACCGGGTGCGTGTGTGTGCGGGCCCAAGATCCCAAGAGGAGAATGGAGAAGGGATCGCAGCGTGGCCATCCTCCAGGGGGATTGGGGAGGTGGTGATTTCTCACTTTCTGTCTGTCTCTCCAGTGACTGCCTGCACCCTATATCAAAAATTTCACTTAAAAAAAGAATAAATCAGCACAAATGTCTAGAACATTAATATGTACAGGGACTGCTTTAGGATACCATGTGTTAACTTATTTAATTCTCACAAGATCTCCGTGAGGTCAGTACTGCCATGATTCCCATTTGACAGCTGAGGAAGCAAGCACAGAGAGGCTACATAGCCGGCCAGGGCCACACAGCTAATCCCTGGGCTACCCCAAATGCTAATGCACATTCGGTTGTCGGCTGTTGGAGAGGTTGTGGAGAAATGCAGAGATGAAAGAGCTGGGATCAGGTTTGTATGTGGTGAGGGTGGTGAGGCGTGGGGGCGAGGGAGTGCCGCGGTGAAAGAGAGTCTCCCAAGCCAAGGTCCCCTGGGGCATGGCATCACCTTGGGTCCGCTGAGCCTCTGGGATAGAGGCAGGTGCTAGGATAGGCGTGGGCCACCAGGGGGCAGCAGAAACCAAGGAGCTGACCTCCCCTGGCGCTCCTTCAACAGGCCCGGTGTCTCTGGCTTTTTAATAAACGCCTTGGAAAAAGGTGAGGTTTTGTGAAGAATGAGCTCCGCCCTGCTGCCGCCACTTAGGTAAATTAATCTCAAGAGCAGCTGAGCACCGCCTGGCTTTCACAGTCACGTGGTCCGCTCCTCGCACCCACCCCTGCGGGATGCGGGGTACTTCTTTCATGGCGGGGAAACTGGCGCAGAGTGACCAAGTACCCCGCCCACAGCACACAGCTTTGACCCGGCAGGCAGAGGTGCACGCGGAAGGCGAGACCAAGCCCTGGTCCCACTGCGTCTCACTGTTCCGAGCTGTAAAAGGGGGAAGACGAAGATGGGCAAGTGGTATACAGGGTGGTTAGGGATTAGGTTCAAATCCCCACTACGCTGTGGGTACCTGTTTGTCACAGGCCAGTCCCACACAGCGGCCTCGAGATGCAGTGAAATCACGCCTCTCTTGCAGTAAGAAATCAACAACTGCCAGGGTTGGGAACCAGCAGTTAGCGTAATGGCTATGTCGCTGGACTCCCACGTAGTCGACCTCGGTTCCCGGCCCGCGCCCAGTGGCTTAAAACGCACGCCGGGCGCGTGTGCATGCGTGCCCAAGATCCTGAAAGGAGAATGGAGGAGAAGGGATTGCGGTGTGACCATCCCCCCTGGGGGGGTGATTTCTCGCTTTCTGTCTCTATGTCTCTCTCTGTCTGGCGAGAGCACGCGCCCTATAGCGAAAATCTCTCCAAAAAAAAAAAAAAAAAGCTGCCAGGGTTTTGTTTGGATTTTGCTTTTTTAGCTTGTTTTAGTTTTTTGTTTCTTAATTGCTAGAGAGCATGTGTGCTTGTGAGAGAGAGAAAACCCCCAATGAGGTGTGCGGCAACTCCTTCTCCTCCATTTCTCTAACCTGTTGGGGTTTGGGGCATGCACGCCCGCGTGCCCAGGTGTTTTTCAAACCGGGAATTAAACCAGGGTCGGCCATATGGAATCTGGAGCGCACGGGGTTTGACCACTGCACTACAGGTTGGTCTGCTTTATTTTACTTCTTAATCACTTTCATGGAAAAATAATGTCAGAAAGCTTCTTCAACAGGATGTTAACGGAGCTGCTATTCCTTCAGAGACAGACTTTTACTTTGTACCGCCCACCTGGTGCCCGGAGCTGGAGCGGGGGATGGGATTTCGGTGGTTTTTCACTTTCCTCTTTGTACCTTTAGGTTCTCTTTGAATCAGAGAAGGCCCACACGTGCCAACTCAGTAATACGAGTATACGAAGCAGTGTTTTGTTTTTAAAAAGAAAAAAAAAAAATGGAAGCACTCACCACCTCCCTCCCACCCTGTGTAAGAGCGAGGTTGAGGGGATGGATGCTGTGTGGGGAGGGGAGACCCTGAAATCAATGCCTCTGCAGACTTTGCCAAGGGGGCTCAGGCTGCTCCCACCTACTGGGTGTTGTTAGCCAGGGGGCATCCCCCTAGGCTCTCCACCTCTGGTCCAACCCAGTGGGGGCGCTCGGAAACTCCCAACACCGGTGTCTCGCTGCCCATGCCGGCACCTGTTTCCAGCCAGGTCAGAGGTGGGCCTGAGTTGGGTCTACCTAATCCAGTAGAATCCTTCACCCATCTGTGGCTCTTGGGGTACATTTTTGATGCAATCTGTCCCTCTTTTTTTTTTTATTTAATTTTATGTATTCATTCATTTGTTTTAATTTGACCAGAGAGAGACACAGAGAGAGAGAGAAAGTGAGAAAGCAAGCCAACAGGTCTGGGACTTGAACCATGGTCGACCATGAGGGAGTGTCCAGTGCCTTAACCACCATGGCCCCTACTGGACCCTATTCCTCTTCTTTTTTTTCCCCTCATCTTTCTGGGTCTTCCTCTCTTTTGCATGCTGAGGCAATTGATAAAGGCATGTCAAAATAAAGTTGAAATGTTAATAAATAACTTCAGCAAATGTAAATGTTATTAACTGCTATTAAATAAAAGTTAAAATTCCGCGGTTGCCCTACGCACTGCGCGGCATTTCCGTCTTAGCAAGAGACGCTGCTGGCCTGCAGCTCTGCGGGACCTCCACTGCCTAACTGTAAAAGCCTTTCCTGAGGCGGTTTCTGAGTCTGCTCCTGCACATTTAAAAGAAAACGTTGAGCCATGCTCATCATCTGAGACGTTCTGTCTTTGCTTTAACAATTGCCTCTTAGTGAAGTCGCTCAATGAGCATGTGAGGGAGTGACGTGCCGGGCCCAGTGCAGAAGGCACCCATGGGGGGCAGGTATGCTCCCAAGTATGGGGACTAGGACGGCACAGGTGAGGAGCTCCTGGCAAGCAAGCCAGACTGTGAAAGGCAGACCCTGTATGTCCCCACTCAGTACACACCAAATGTCTGCACTCGGAAACAGACATGGCAGGACAGACGGAGAGAGGACAGCTGCAGATGCCAGGGCTGCATGGGGTGGCAGGGTGGAGAAA